AATAACAGCTATGATATTTATCTTTTTGATAGAGTCAGTAGGTTTCTTTGAAAATCATCCTTTCAGGCAGATCTGAGTGATCTGTGGGTTATGTTTGGAAACATCTTTTGGGAGGATGACACTGAATGTTGTTCAACTGTGATCACACCATGTCTTCATGACAGGTACATATACATGTAGCATTAGATGAGGATCTTTATTATGTAGACATCTCTGATGATGTTTACATACTAAAAGGTGTGAGAAACACAATAAAGATTGTCAGTTTCAGAGACATGTTATATTAAATTTCACTTCTTGTCATCAGCAGGAATTTTCTCAGTGGATGCATGTACCCCTTAACCTTTGCTTACAACATATTTCAATTTGCTTCATTAGCATAAACGCGTCAGCTAGTCTCTGATTGAGCTGCAAAAATAGCAACTCTGTATTTGAAAGGTCATAATGAGTATGCCACACATGAAAAGGTAGTCAAAAAATTTGATTCAAACCCCCAAAGGAGACCAATCTGGGCGTGGCTTGAGCTTTATTTGACCCAAAAAGATACCACTTAAAATGGAATAGGCTCAATTACCAGCTGCTGTTCAGAAAGAGAGCTTTCACCAGTAGACTGTACTCGAGAGACCGGTGAATATCGGAGCTGAAGTACAGAAATAAGAGAGTTTTCTATCATAAAAGAAATATACTTTGACAGCTAAAAATAGGTGTAATTTCTCATGAACACCCGAAGTGATACCACAATCCTTGATTTATACCCCTAAGCGAGACGACAGGCATCCCCAACCTTTTCATGTGGGAGTTTCCGCCTTGGAATGGTAAAGTCTGCTTATGAGCCAAGTGGCCCATCAGGCCGGAGCTTATCCTGGTGTCAATAGCATGCAGTGACTAGGAGTATTTCTACTCCCCCCTTGATGGGTTGCTAGTCCATCACAGGGTTACCCCCCACTATGAGAGTAACGTGTCATGCCCAAGAACACAATACAATGTCCCTAGCTAGGGCTCGAACCTGGACTGCTCGCTCCAGAGTCAAGCACACTAACCATGAGGCCCCTGCACCCACCAGTTAACTCATTTGCTGTATTTCAATTGGAGAGCAGTATTTTAGATACTTCTGTGTGACATGGAATGCAAAAACCTAAATTTTACAAAGCCTTTCCTGGCTTTTAAGTCCTTTTACATCCCAGAAACTTTGCAGTTAGCCAGACGACGGACAGTCAAGAATAAAAGTTGTATTAAACTAGCTAGATTTGTTTAGTAAATGTACCTTCTTTACTATTATTCAAACAATGCTGTCTTGATACTCTTNATACTAAAAGGTGTGAGAAACACAATAAAGATTGTCAGTTTCAGAGACATGTTATATTAAATTTCACTTCTTGTCATCAGCAGGAATTTTCTCAGTGGATGCATGTACCCCTTAACCTTTTAAGTCTAGAAATAAACATAACCTTTGCTTACAACATATTTCAATTTGCTTCATTAGCATAAATGCATCAGCTAGTCTCTGATTGAGCTGCAAAAATAGCAACTCTGTATTTGAAAGGGCATAATGAGTATGCCACAAATGAAAAGGTAGTCAAAAAATTTGATTCAAACCCCCAAAGGAGACCAATCTGGGCATGGTTTGAGCTTTATTTGACCCAAAAAGATATCACTTAAAATGGAATAGGCTCAATTACCAGCTGCTGTTCAGGAAGAGAGCCTGCGCCAGTAGACTGTACTCAAGAGACCAGTGAATATCGGAGCTGAAGTTCAGAAATAAGAAAGTTTTCTATCATAAAAGAAATATACTTTGACAGCTAAAAATAGGTGTTTTCTCATGAACACCCCAAGTG